TTTTTTTTTCTTCAGACGAGTGTCTTGCTTGATGCCCAGGCTGGAGTGCAGTGGCATGATCATAGCTCATTACAACCGTAAACTCCTGGGCTCAAGCAATCCTCCTGCATCAGCCTCCTGAGTAGCTCTCCCAGCACTTTGAGAGGCTGAGGAGGGAGGATTGTTTGGACACAGGAGTTTATGACCAGCTTGGGCAACACAGTGAGACCTCCTAACTGCTAAAAATCAAAAACCTGGGCATGGTGGTGCTCGCCTGTAGTCCCCACCTGTCACCACTTTGTTAACCTCCATTGCTTTCTTGACCCACTGTACGTTGGTTCCTGCTGTGTGGCACTCCTCTGAAATATTCTTTCAACAGTTATCTATTACTTTGAAATTGGCAAGTCAAATAATCATTTCTCAGTCCTCATCTATTTGGCTACTCCCTTGGCTTCCACGATACACATCTTCTTGGCTCTTACCAGCTCTTTCTCAATCGCCTCCACTTGCCACTTTTTTTGTTTTGTTTTGTTTTGTTTTGAGATGGAGTCTCGCTCTGTCTCCCAGGCTGGAGTGCAGTGGTTCAATTTCGGCTCACTGCAACTTCCGCCTCCTGTGTTCAAGTGATTCTCCTGCCTCAGCCTCCTGAGTAGCTGGAACTACAAGTGTGCACTGCCATGCCTAATTTTTTGTATTTTTAGTAGAGAGGCAGTTTTGCCATGTTGGCCAGGCTGGTCTCAAACTCCTGACCTCACACTTGCTACTTAAATATTAGGTTGAAGCAGTTACTTTTAGGTTTAATTTAGGTTGGTGCAGATTGTCTTATTGATCTATTCCCTTTCCTTTCTAAAAATATCAATGTTGTAGTCTTAGACACAATTTTAATTCGTGGTTCTATGAATCAGTAGTGGTGAGACCCTCAACACATTTTTTTTTTTTTTTTTTTGAGATGGAGTCTCGCTCTGCCACCCAGGCTGGAGTGCAGTGGCCAGATCTCAGCTCACTGCAAGCTCCACCTCCCGGGTTTACGCCATTCTCCTGCCTCAGCCTCCCGAGTAGCTGGGACTACAGGCGCCCGCCACTTCGCCCGGCTAGTTTTTTGTATTTTTTAGTAGAGACGGGGTTTCACCAGATTAGCCAGGATGGTCTCGATCTCCTGACCTTGTGATCCGCCCGTCTCGGCCTCCCAAAGTGCTGGGATTACAGGCTTGAGCCACCGCGCCTGGCCTCAACACATTTTTTTAACCTCTCTGAGCCTCAGCTTCTTTACTTACAATTTGATGATAATGTCTACCTCAAAATGTTGTTAGTATTAAGTGAAATATGGTATAAGTGCCCTAGGATAGTGATGGGCATATAGTAAGGGCCCGATGTATGGCAATTTTTTTTTTTTTAATTCTCTCTTCCTCTCCTCTTAAACACTAGATGATGGACGTTAATAAATATAATAAAGGGTGTTTAACACAATGTGCAACTCAACAGAAGATGGATTCTCCCAACATTAGTTGTTTATCATGCTTAGAAAAACCTGGGTGAAAATGCAACTTTTATATTGCTCAACTGGGAATGGAGAAAAGGGGAATGAGTTTTTATATGTATTCTTCAGTGCTTTCATATCATAACGCTGATTTTTAGTGCTTATTATTTCAGAAATTTTGAGGAATCTGAAGATGAGTTGAGAGATGAAGTAGTAGAATCCTTAAAAAAACTTGCTACTTTCAAAGAGGAAGATAAAACAGCAGAGGCCTCCAGTGCCTCTAAGGACTCTGGAAAGTCAAGTGAAAGAGAGGGGATAAGTATGCAGAAATCTGAAGAATTAAGTGAAGGCTTGGAGAATATTTCTACTACATCTAATGAACACATTTGTATTACAGATGAAGACCAAGGAACATCAACAACTAGTCAAAATATACAAGTGTGATTATTGTACTTTTTCTTAAGTAATAAGTTAGTGTCTAGTGTCTATTACCTATAGTATTTATTTGGGTACAAGTCATAAATGTTCATTTACTTTAAGGGTTTTCTAGTAATCTCAAGGATTTATTTTTCTTTCAATTTAGGAAGTAGAACTAACTTTTGGATATAGACATTAATATTTTTACTTTAAAGTTTCTATTAAGAAATCTTAGGCCAGGCAATCCCATCACTTTGGGAGGCCAAGGCGGGCAGATCATGAGGTCAGGAGTTTGAGACCAGCTCAACTAACATGGTGAAACCCCGTCTCTACTAAAAATACAAAATTAGCCGGGCATGGTGGCACATGCCTGTAATCCCAGTTACTTGGGAGGCTGAGGCAAGAGAATCACTTGAACCCAGGAGATGGAAGTTACACGTGAGCTGAGATTGCACCATTGCACTCCAGCCTGGGCAACAAGAGCAAAACTCTGTCTCCAAAAAAAAAAAAACAAAAACAAAAACCATATATATATATTTCAGCTAATGTATGTGGTAGGCAGAGTAATGTGGCTCAACACCCCCTCCAAAACATGTCCCCTCCTAATCCCCAGTTTGTGAATACGGCAAAGGAGAATTAAAGGTTGCAAGTGAAATTGTTTGGTCATCAGCTGACCTTAAAATAGGGAGGTTATCTTGGTTTATCCACGTGGGTGCAGTGTAATCAGAAGGGTCCTTACAAGTGGAAGAGGAAGGCGAAAGAGAAAACCAGAGATATGGCAGCATGAAAAGGACTCAGCCTGATGTTGCTGGCTTTGAAGATGGAGGACAAGGCTACAAACTAAGAATTCAGACAGCCGTTGGAATCTGGAAAAGGCAAAGAAATGGATCTTCCCTAGAGCCTCCAGAAGGAATACAGTTAATTTTAGCCTAGTGAGATCAATTTCACACTTCTGACCTGCAGAACTGTTAAGATAATAAATTTGTGTTAACTAAGTTTGTGATAATTTGTTAGGACAGCAATAGAAAACAAATACAATATACAGGTTCATTCATTTAACATAATCAATCTGCCATTTTATAAAACTGTGATTTTGAAATTTGTTGAATACACTTTTTTGAAGCTGATGTTGACACAGGAATAAGGCAATTGAGCAAGAAGAATAAGGCATGGTGTGTTAATTATGCACTAAATGACCATGACCATTTTGTCTTATTGGATTAGTTTCTAATAGTTTCAAGTGTATAGGCTTTATATCTTACAATGATCTTTTTATATACAGTTATTAGCACAGTACCAGAAATCTTTCTTGAATTAATAAATGCTAAAACATTTCCTCATTAGGACTGTAAGCTGTTTGGTGTAGGAAAACTAACTTTTTTTTTTATTGATCATAACAATTCCAACGTTGAACATGGCCTGGAGCTTAACAGATGTTTATTTAAATACTAAGGAGTATGTCTGGGCTTAGGAAGGAGAGGGTGGTTATACTTCAGGGTGGTAGAATTCTGCTTGAAATATGTGCTCTACAATAAAAGTAAAATGTCTCACTGATACACTGTTAAACTGAGAAAACAAAGATGAGGTAAGGTTGGTCAGATGATTTCTAAGGTCTGTTTACTATTTACATTTCATATAATTTTCATTAAATGTGGAGAATGCACATTGTAGGAGTCACCTGAGATATGTTCAGTTTTTTGTGACTATTTCCTGATGTCTGACAGACTGTTCTTTTAACCTGATGTAGAGTTACAGTCTACTCTTTTAGGGAGAATGCTGTTTGTTCACATCATGAGGCTGTAAATATTTAAAATGTTCTCACCACTGTGTTAGTTTCCAACTGACACATGGCCTGAGAGATTGGAGTATCATTAATTCTCCAACTGTTTTAGTGCTCAGGGTGTGCATATGTTTATTTACTTTCAGGACTAGTTCAGACATAGTAAAACTGCTAGTGACTTCATGTAATCCTTATTCTGAACAGTATTTGAAAGCAAGGGAAATGAAACATGATCCCTAAAAACCTCAAACGTCCAAACAAGTCAATTAAGTGCAAAAAAAAAAAAATGTTTAAGGTTGGTAAATGAACAGGCCAGGTGTGGTGGCTCATGCCTGTAATCCCAACACTTCGAAAGGCTGAGGCAGGAGAATCGCTTGAGCCCAGGAGTTCAAGACCAGCTTGGGCAAGATAGGGAAACACCCATCTTTAACCGCCCCTCATCAAAAAAAAAAAAAAAAAAAAAAGCTGGTGTGTTGGTGTGCACCTCTGGTCCCAACTATTCAGGAGGCTGAGGTGGGAGAATCACTTTAGCTTCAGCCTCAGAGGTTGAGGCTAGTGAGCCATAATCCGTGATCGCATCACTGCACTCCACCTTGAGTGACAGAGTAAGACCCTGTCTCAAAAAAAAAAAAAGTTAAGCATGTCAGGTTACTGGGTTTGCTCCCATGACAAGATGCTTGGCTAAAGTCTATTTTAGGTAATAGTCACCAAGCTTTACTCAGCAATTTTGAATTCTTTGCTGTAAATTGGAAGTATTCACTGTGATAAGTATACATATCTGCAATATTTTCAACTGGTTTTAGTCCCTAATTCTAGACCTTACCCATTTTACACACACGATTAGCTAAATCATGTTCCTGAGCATGGCTCTGATTGCTTTGCTCTGGCTTTAGCCTTGGCCTCATCTGTTAAACTGAAACTTTTTATCAGACCTGTATGCATTAAAAAAATTTTTTTATTAGAAAAATCAGCCTCTTGCTAGCCATGTATGATAGCTATCAAATTGATCATTCTGTAAATAGTAGCAATAAGTGTATCAACACTTTGACCTCCTGCGTGTCTACTAACATTTGCATATAGTCCAAGTGAGCACACAGCACCAGAATATTGGAACAGATGCAGCTCCAAAGCCAAGTGTTGCCTTACATTTAGAGTGGGAAAAGAGGAAAATGAGTTAGCAGAAGAGCAGCGGGGGAGGGGAGGTAAATTACAGGACATAATTTGCTTCTAAAAATTTGTGTAACATGTTGTAGTTATATAATTAACTTTTCTAATGTACTGATAGACTTGGCACAGACATACTCTCATTGTGAATATATATGAATATATCAGTTCTAGAGTCTGGGGTTTATTTACATAAACACAAATATTCTTTATTGATAATCACACTGGTCTCTATCTCACAATTTTGCGTATAAGATGACCTTATAAAATCCCTCGAGAATTATTTAAATCAAGTGTACGAAGCTCTGCAGTTTATGTCCAAAATATTCATTAAAAAGTTTATTAAACCTGACAGCCTCTTCTTAATGTTTCACAAGCAAGACAAACTTTTATTTATCTTTCTTCTTTAATTGGCTATGGAGCTTGGGAATATTAGTAGAACAAGGAGACTATGTGAGGCATATAAAAGGAAAGAATCCAAGAGAATGAAAAATCACTTCTTTAAATAATATTTAGACACAGACTTTGTATCTATTAGATCTAAATCATGTCTTAATACAAATTAAATCATATTTACGAATAATAATTACACAAAACCTATGTAACACATACTTTATAGTACACAAGTGTAAATAAGAATACAAACCTCCACTGCTGTGGGTTCAAAACATAGCAGGCTTGGACCACTCAAAAATGATGTCTGAGAGGAACAGTCATTCTGAAAGTTCTGCAGACAGACGCTAGCAGACAAGCCATTTTGACACTTTTCATGCTATCATTCAGAAAAAAATAGAAGACATATACCACATTACGAACACTGATAATCATCATATGCAAATTATATCTTCCAATGACATATCTGTGATGTATGAAAATAATTTTAAAGAAATAAGCTTATAGTTTATGGAATCCCAGAAAACTTTTTCTTCCTTCACTACCTCCTCAGGAATAAGGCAGTTGAGTGGGTAACAGTTTGAATCTTACTTCAAAGTGTAGCTACAAAGTAAGAAAAAGCACTGGGCCAGGAGTCAGAATATCCAGGTTATAATCTTGATTCTTTCATGGAACAGCTTTGTGGCACTGAAGGAGTCTACTAAATTCTTTAGATTTAAATTGTTCTGGTCTGTAAAGCTGAAAATAAGAGAGAACTGGGCTAATCCGTAGGGTTCCTTTCACTCCAATTTCTACCCGTCTTTTTCTAAATGGAATCATCTCTAACACAAAGTTACAATGGTGTGTCAGAACATCCTGTGACTGGTCCTCTGTTTGCTTTTTGATCTGATGACAGATGGCCTGGAGACGTATGAATAACATAACTGGGAGTAGATAAGCTGGCCACATTGATAAGTGACTGAGAGAAGAGTGCAAAGGAATAATGTACCCTTTCATTTGCCCCTTAACACAAAGATGAATCAGGCTATGGATGGGGTCAATTCACTGAACTAGAAAGGATTATATAAGCAGAAAATGCAAAAGCTATAGGTTTTTACAGCCGTATCTGCTCACACATATATTCAATTTTCCATGCTAGTTATTCAGGATAGAAGGTGCATTAAATTTATACCAATTCCTAGCTACTGGCCGAGTAACTAAGAATCTACATAGAGTTGTAATGCATTAATAAAGATTGGATTATAGAAGACATTTAGTATGTAATGCTCCCTTTAAGTAACTGTCATAATTTTTTTTTTTTTTTTTTTTTTGAGACAGAGTTTTGCTTATTGCCCAGGCTAGAGTGCAGTGGCACAATCTTGGCTTACTGCAACCTCTGCCTCCTGGTTTCAAGTGATTCTCTTGCCTCAGCCTCTCAAGTAGCTGGGATTACAGGCACCCGCCACCAGATCCAGCTATTTTTTTTTGTATTTTTAGTACATACAGGGTTTCACCATGTTGTTCAGGCTGGTCTCTAACTGCTGACCTCATGATCTACCTGCCTTGGCCTCCCAAGGTGTTGGGATTACAGGCGTGAGCCACTGCTCCCGGCCCTTAACTGTCATAATTTTCAAAGTACTTTCATCCACTTTCCATCTCATTATTCCAACTCCAAAAGGTAGTAAGGACTGGAATTAACAACTCCAGATTACAGATGAAGAATCTGAGACTCAGAAAGATAAAGGAGCAGTTTTAGTGTCAAAAGGTCAGAAGTTTGTAAATGATGAAGCTGAAGGTAGGCCCAGATATGCTAACTGCTTGCCCAGTGCTCTTTTCAAAATGCCACCTTGCCATCTGACAATGCATTATGCTGGTAATAGATAATAAATACCCTGTGGATGTATCTGTATACCACATCATCACTGTCAGAAAAACAACTTGAGGTTCTCTTGAATGACTTAAACCTGACTTCCAGGCTGAGATGCGGTACTGTCAAGCGATAATGAGACCCACACAAATGTGCTGATAGCACTAAACAAAAACAATTTTCACCAGTACCTAGTATGGAAAGGACTGTTGGCAGCACCTTGGCCTCTACTGCCCTACACACACCTATAAAGCATCAGTCAGTCCCACCTCTTGACTGTATGCTTTGAGAACATGATTACACAAGTCTGTTTAAAATTTCTTTTTAAAGGAAATCATTAGGTATATTCAAAAGGGTCATCCACTGTATTGTTTAGAATGTAAATGTACCAGCATTTTTCTGTGTTCTAATGTCTGATCAATTCTAAAATGCTAGTCAATTAATGGTCATCCATTTTCTTTTTTTAAAAATGTGGCTCAACTACATGCAATGTGCTGAGCCAGTTCTGGAATCCACCCTGTAGCAGAGTAAAACTGGACCAAAGGAAGTGGAATCAGAACTCCTAGCTGTCACTTTTCCAGCTACTCAACCTACAGAGTTTTTCTTCAACTCTTTACTGTGACGTGTGGTGATTTGTTTTGGATTCCACTGTATGACAGACAGGTCTGACCTTGAGGAAGACCGGTAGCCCACATCCTCTGCTTTTATGGGCTTAATGATATGACCTGGCTTGGTGATGACCTTGGGAGTAGTCAGCTTTTGGAAAGCCCTCTGGGTGTTCCATGTGGATCCTACAGGGGTCTGGATGGTCCTTTCAAATTGCCGATGGTGGGTAAATGGATATGGAAGCACTTGTACCTGATGAGCTGCTGCGTGGATGTTGCGCTTCTCACTGATAATCACATTTGGCAAATTCTTATCTTTTCTTGGAGGACCCTCAGGGGCTTTGAGAAACTGGCGTCTTTTCTTGGTACTAGGCTTTAGGCCCACACCACCCCACTCGCCCCAGCCAGGTAGTGTCAGGTCCACGTCCTTTGGCGTACTCGCCTCCACAGCTTCTCTCTTCTCTTTCAAGAAATTTCTGATGACATCATCCCCAGCAAAAGCTTCCTTTATCATCTGCCTTTGGTCTCTCTCCTCTTCATCTTCCAGCTCCTCTATTGTTGTGGGAACTGCCAAAGACCTCACGGAAGGAGACTGTGTAGTTAGGAAGTTCTGTACGTCGATCAGTTGCTCCTTCTCTTTCTTCTCCTTAGGGGCATCAGGCCGATTATTTGGGGTCCTCTCTGACTGCTGCCCTTCTAACACAGGTCTGGGAAGCTCCTTATTTTGAAAACAATCTTCTTTTCCCAGCTCTTCTAGCTCTTCCAGAGTTTGTACTCTCTCTGGCCTCTGTAGCAACAGGGGCACCTCTTCTTCTGGGGCAGGTTCCTCTCTCTGGACCTGGGGAACAGTCCCCTCTGAACTTGCTTTTTGCTTCCTGGACTGATGGTTTTCCTTCAATTTCTGAGATAGTGCCCTCAATTCAGACAGCACCTCCTGGCTGCTAGAATCTTTTGTTTCTTGAATGCCTGCTGGCTCAGCATCCTGGTTGAGCTCAGATCTTTTTCTAAGGGATCGCCTCTCCTCAAAGTCTCTCAACGAAATTTCTTCCTCTGCCACTGGTCTTTCTCCCTCACTTTCAGAAACCTCATGGGTCGCAGGCTCTGGCAGTTGCTCAGGGTCCTCCTGGGTTGCAGCCTCTCTGGTGTCACTGGTGCAGCTTCTGAGCATCCAGGGATTCGGTCCGTCCACATTCATCTGGACTTCATTCACTACATGGGGGACAAGGAGTTCTTCCACTTCTTCTGTGCCTCCCTCCTCTTCCTCAATCTCAGAGGCTACCTGGAGTTTCTGTGTCAGTTCTTTGTTCTTGGCCAACTGTTCCTGCATAGCTTGGCGAGCCTCCAGGTCATATTTTGCCATAATTGCCTTTGACTTGGCCCATTTCCCACTGTTTTGGTGCTTAAGGCTCATTCTTTCCATCATTCTGGCATTTTCAAATTTTTCCAGTTCTTCCAATGCCACAGTTGGATTAACCTTCTGCAGCTGCTCCAACTCTTTTGAGGCTTTCCTGGCCTTTCCTTTCTTCACGACTTTGTGATACTTTTTACTTTTGATTTTCTTCTCTCTTCGAGCCTTGGCCTCATAGTAGGACTGCAGAGCCCGAGCCCTTTGAAGCTCTGCTCGGTGCATCTTTGCCTCTTCCAGACTCATGGCTCGGAGAGAGGCCTTTTCCATGGGAGTCAGTAAAGGGTCTGTTACTGGCTGCTTGTTCTTATGGAGGAGGTTAAAAATTTCCTGCTCCAGGGGAGTTCTTGCCTTCCAGCCACTGAGCGCATGTTCAATGGGAGCAATGGCTGGCTGCTCCTTCCCCAGGGGAAAAGCCAGCTGCTCTGCCTGCTGGTTCTTCAGGACGATAGGGTCCCATTTAGAGAGGACTTGTGAGGTTTTACCGAATGCTACTTCTCTGTGGATCTGTTCAATCTTTTCTTTGTTAAGAGGTAACTCCACCACCTTCTTTGATTTGACTCTATTCAGTTGCTTTTTCACAGTGGCCAAAGAAGAAGTAGTTTTAACAGGCTCAAGGAGATCTGCAAGGACCAGCTTTTCTCCTGATCCTTCAGAACTGACATTGAACTCTGACACTTTCAGACTAGCCTCAGACCTCTCAGCCAATTTCCGCCTATTCTTTCCATCAAGGGAACTGATTGCTTCCAGAAGCTTTTGATGCTTTCTCTCTCTATCACTGTCCCCCTCATCTTCATTCTCACTCAAGGGGCAGTTTTTTGGCAAATCCACTAATTCTTCCTGTTGGCTCAAAGCCAGAAGGCTCTCTGCAACCCGGTTCACATTCATCTCAGCAGCCAGCTTCTCTCATGTGTACCAAGAATGGAAGCTGAAGGCTAGTCATCCATTTTCTTTTCAACACTTCCTTTTATTCTAAAAGGAAATTTTCTTGTCTGTTTTCTAAAGTAAAATGATTTGACAAATGAGATTGAATTTAGAAAAATATTTACATATGAAGGTGTTTAACCAGTTTATATAAAATATCTTTAATTTTCCAGATATGGCATTACTTAAATAACTTTTCCACAGATGATAGGAATGTCACTTCAAATTCCTGATCAGAGAATCTGCTTACAGATGCACGAGCACTTTTTCTGATTTGGAGTCTCTTTTCTGCAGACATGGAAAGAATGTGAGCGATAGTTTCAGCATAGTCTTCTTCACTCTCAGCCAGAAAGCCAGTTATATCTCCTTCGTGAGGAACGACAATGTCAAGCTTTGGGCCCCCTGAATTGTGTGCAAGGATAATTGTGCCAGCTGCCATACACTCCACAACTCCTGAGAAAAAAACAAAAATCATGTAGTATTTTAAGTTTTTGAATGTGTTCATAAGAATGAGGATGAACAGAAATCTTCAAAAATTTTAAGGGACTTATGAGAAACTTAATTGTCTATATGTCTAGACATTTGCTTATTTAACTTCTATAGTACAAAATAAAATAATTTTAAGTTTTTTAGTTTTCATAGCTTCATAATAATACAATTTTTTTTTTTTTTTTTTTTTTTTTGGAGAGAGAGGGTCTCACTATGTTGCCCAGGCTGGCCTCTAACTCCTAGCCTCAAGTGGTCCTCCCATCTTGGCCTCCCAAAGTGCTGGGATTTACCAGCGTGAGCTACCACACCCAGCCTGCTGCTTTATTCTTAGTTAAAATAGACAAGTAGATGGAAGACTAACCTATTAAAAAAGATATATTGCAGATAATTAAAAAAGACTAGAGAATGTTAGCAAGATGGTAGAATATTAACAGGTATTAGAAAAACAAAAGGAGTAAAAAGATATCAAAAACAATTTTAATAGTTCAAATTACATTAGCAGAAAAAATAAAAAATGCGAATCACCTAAGTGAAGCATACTATTGCCGTGCTTATGTTACTGCCTGGATTTCTGGCATATTTGAGACTACTGCGTGCCCAACAACAGTGCTGAACTAAATGAAAGTTGTGGTTAGTTTCTGCCAAATGATACACATGAAATATAAATTAATCTAGCCAGCCTTTCTTAGCTGTATTCCTAGGAGAATTAAGCCCTTCAGAGAATGATTTAAGTGACTGCTTTCCCAATTATCTGAAGGATGGTACAGAGCTGGTATCATCCTGGATGTATAGGAGAGAAATTAAATAATTCCAAATGTTTCTAAACCAGTGGTGAAATCCCTGCAGAATAGAATTCAGTAGCTCATATCGTATTCTGCTTGAGGTTGGAGAGCATCCTGTACTTTCTCAGAGACCTTCATCTAATCAATTTTACCCTTTCCCTCTCTACTGGCTCCTTCCTATCAGCATTGAAGCTAGGGTGCCACATGCCTCTCCTCAGGTCCTGCAATACCCACCCCTAGCCATTTTCTCTTCTTCCCGCTCCGTACTTCACAAACTTACTGAAAGTGTGGTTTGCACTTACCAACTCTACTTGTTCACTTCTGAGTGCTCAACTTTTGATTTTTGCTCATAGTCTGACTTTTGCTTCTACTTCTCCCTTAAGATTGCTCTTGCCCAGGTCACCAGTGACTGCCTTACCTTCCCCAGCATCTGGGCAGCATCGGAATCTGTGCCCTCTTCATTCTTCTCCAAACACTCTCTTCCTTGGTTTCTAAGACACTGCACTTGGCTGGCTCTCCCCCTTCTCCATTTCTTCTCCCCATTTCTCAGCTGTTTCTGTTCTCTGCATTTTGTACTGAGAGCCTCTTCTCACTCTGTACATATTCCCCAGGCGATCTTATCCACATCCATGGGAGCTTTGATAACTACCTGCACAAGGACAATCTGCATTTTGTATTTCCAGACCAGATTCCTCTCCTCAACTTCAGACTCCTATATACAAAACTACCTCCTGGACGCATGCCCTCACATGTCCCACAGATGAACTCAGACTCTGCAGGTTCAAAACTTGGCTCATCAATGGTATCTGCTCTTGGATTTCCCCTCTGGGAGAAAGCCAACACCATTCTCAGAGCTGCCCAGCTCCCAAAACCCTAGGTGGTCTTCTCTTCCTCCCTCATTTAACACATCCAGTTAATCACCAAGTCCTGGTCAATACACTGCAGAATGTCTCTCAAGCATGTTCACCTACCAAGTTCAGCTCACTAGTACCTCCACCTGGGCTGCTACAGTAGGCCGGCTCACATCTTACTGCCTTTCCAATCTTGCTCTCTCGGCTCTTCACTGATCCACTCCCCATGTGGCCAGAATGGACTGCAGAAATCAGAAAGCTTTTGCATACAATACTTAAAGTCCTGCTGTTCTTTTCCACTGGCTTAACCTGGCCCATATCACCTCTCTGTTGTCTTCCTGCTTAATGTTCCTATTGATGCATCTGTTGTCACTCCTGTCATAGTGCTGTTCCCTCTGCTGGAGACTCTCCCGTCTCTCCTGGCTAACCTCTAATTATTGTTCGGGTCCTGCTCAAGTGTCACATCACTTCCTTGGGCAACTGTTCTCTGCCTGCACAAGTCTGTGTTAGCTTTCTCTTTGGCACTTTCACATCACCCTGCACTTCCTTAGCATAGCACCTGGCACACAGCACTTGCCTGTGTAGCCTGTTGGTTCCACCAGAGGGCAGGAAGCCTCTGACAGGCCAAGCAGCTCCCGTCTCCACCACATCTCTAGCATCCACCCAAGTGCTCAGCAGACTGAATGTTTAGTAAGTTTCTATGCAAGGAAGCAGAGCAGGTCAGATCCCAGGCAAAAGGTTGGGTCAACCTGGGTCTAGTACTATACTACTAACTAGGAGTGAAAAAAGTGTAAGAGAAATTGTAGTCTTAGTTTAGAAAGTGTCACTTTTATGTTATCCTCATTTCCTCTAACAACTAACAGTGTGAGGCACAAAGCGCTTGAGAAATATACGTGGACCCAAATTAAACACAAAGTAGTACTTGGTTTTACAGCAAAATGTATGCTTAACAGGTCAGAATGGAGATAGTAGTTTGTGCCAGAATAAACAAGAGAGGCTAAAAGGCAAGGAGATTTAAGTTGAAGACTTATGATGCGATCTGGCACAAAGAGGAGGGCCAGTCCATGGTGAGGGTAGAATCAATAAAAGACTAAAAGAGTTACTGTGAGAAGTCCCTATGCAAACAGCGGTTCTCAACTTTTGATGTGTAACAGAATCACTTAAGCAGCATTATCAAAATACATCTACCTGGGCTTTGTCCAGAGATTCTCATTTGGCCATTCTGTAGGACTAGGGTAGGCCCAGGAATCTATACCAGTAAGTACGTAGTGGGGTTAGATGGGGAGAGAAAATGTTGCTGTTAAGAGCAGGGGCTATCTGGGTTAGAATCCGGGCTCTACCATTTACTTACTGTGTAACTGAACTTGAGCAATTTCTAAACCTTCCTGTGCCTGAGTTTCCTTATTTATAAAATAGGAATAACAATAACACCTATCAAATAGGGGTTTAGAGGGGCTTAAATTAGATAATACACGTAAAAATCTCAACACAGTGGCCTGCACACAGGAATTGGTCAATAAATACTAGCTGCTATTGTTAACTACTTAGTCTCAAATGAGGAAAGTGTATTTGGTGGACGAGGGGAAGAGAATTAGGGCATGATGCAGACTTCCAGAATTTCATCATTTTATCAAAAGAACCTAAAATGTGTATCTCATGGCACCAAACAAGTTGTTTAAAGGCCAAACTCACCAATCCCAAAATGCTCGTTCCACATGGTATGCAGACCAATTGTTGCTTCAGACAAATAATTCTTTAATTCATCAAATGGAATGTTTATTTTAAATTCCACATATTCTTGAACTCCTAAATCCTCAGAGAGCCTTCTCAGTTGGTTTACCCTAAGTTCATCATCTTTGTTACGACAACCTCCAATGAGGACAAGTTTAAGAGAAGGAGATGACTCAACCATCTTCTTATTCAGCAATTTAGCAAAGGCTCTGATCTGCAATGGATGATTCTTTTCCGGCCTAAACTGGCCAACAGAAACCAGCAAATGTCCTGGAGTCATCTTTTTCTCATGTAAGGGAATATCCAGAAATGTCTGCACATCACAAGGTGGATAAACAATGTTAGTGCAATTCCCAACTTTCCATAGTGAGAGAATATGGTTTAGTGTCCAAGAAGAATTGACCATGACTACATCACTGCAAGAACCAACAAGTCCATAAATAAAAGCAAATAAATAGTAGTAGATGAGCTTTACTTTGCTGAGAAAAGGATTCCTGGTAATGAAGGCTGGATTATTAAATCCAATATTTTGATTCTTCACTACAGAGAGCATGTCGGTGCTGATAGTGGGATAATGAACATAGCTTCCAACTTGGCAACCCCCTATATACTTAAACAGAGGAAGTGTAAAAGCATATCCCATTGAATCGATGTAAACATCAGGAACACACTGCATTAGAGCTTCCCAGCCGAGAAAAATGGATCCTAGACTTTGGCCCAGCAGTGTGAAGTGAGGATACAGTGAATCTTCCACAAGATAGCGTTTCCTTAAAAAAACAAACTGCACTGGGTGAATTAATCTGATGTTAAATCTTCTGAAAGCACCTTCTAGTATCTGTTGACCGCTGACATTAACATCGCCGGTATAAACAACATAAACTGCTTCAGGATACCTAAAATAGAATGTAATGGTTAAGAATGTATTAAGTTACAAAAATTAGCCAGACATGGGGGCACATGCCTGTAATCCCAGCTACTCAGGAGGCTGAGGCAGGAGAATCGCTTGAACCCAGG